ATGTATTCCATCGACATAAAGAAAACGAAGAGAAGTCTAAAGGGTTCTCGGGTTCGGATGTACATGATGATCTGGAAGATCGATGATCGTTTTATATCAATTCCACCGGAGTAAGGTACGCTTCCAATTTATGTTTATGCACAATATTCTTGATGATTCGGCATGACGGTTCCATGGGATTTATTCAAGTTTATTCCAACAGCTGGAACATTACTGCATTCATTTTTCTTCTCCGTCGATCCAGTATTCCAGTTATTAGATGAAGCCCTCGACAATTTTCTAGAACATACCCACTCATTGAAATTCAGTATCACCGTACTGTCGGTTATGCCACCTGTCATCGCCAATAAAACTCCAAAGATAACCACTGTTGATTCGATCTTCATCGCCGATTCTCTTCTTTACGATCTCGACCACCTGTTGAAATATCAGCAGGACAATAGTCAGATCATTGATGTGAAGGGTCAAATCGGAACGCTGCATCAAGAGCTAACACTTTCTCTTTCTCTCCTCAAGGAGTTGAAGGTTCCTCCACACTTAGAGATGGAAGAGTTGAAAGAAGCCGATATACGAGTAAGAGACGTGGCGTACGAAGCCGAATTCTTGATCGGCTCTTTCTTGCTCGGAGATGCCCCTCTCTGGTATTTCTCCATCAGGATTCCTCATGTCATCCACAAGATTAAGCTTATCGGGACTGAGCTCCAAGAAATCAAACACAATGGAGAAGCTAACTTAGGAGGAGTCACAAAGAGTTTTGGTGCACAGCTGTCGTTGGAAGCTAAGAGAAGCCCCGATTTTGATGACGTGGCAGTGGGTTTCGATGACAAGGCAGCACATATTCTGGAACAACTCGTAGGAGGAAGTGAGCAGCTGCAGATAACCTCCATCTTTGGAATGCCTGGACTAGGTAAGACTACATTCGCAAAGAAACTATTCGCTCATCCTTTAGTTTACTGCAGGTTCGATAGATGCTCGTGGAGTGTGGTCTCCCAAACATATCACAGGCGAGGTCTGCTGACTGATATTCTGATTGGCTTATCGATTGAGCTCGACCAAAATAGGATGTTGAATATGGACGAAGAGAGTTTAGTGGAACATATCTACAAAACTTTAAAAGGAAGAAGATACTTAATTGTAATGGATGATATATGGGATTCGAATGCATGGTACGATGTGGGGAGATGTTTTCCGGATGATGGAAATGGAAGCCGAATTTTGTTAACAACTCGGAATAGAGACGTGGGCCCACCTGGCACCATAATTCATGAGCTTCCATTTTTGTCAGACGAACAATGTTGGGAGTTATTAGAGAAGACGGTATTCGGTAATAAGCCGTGCCCTATGAATTTGCAAGGGATTGCTAAGGAAATCGCTGTAAATTGCTGTGGACTTCCTCTTGTGGTTGTTGTTATATCCGGTATTCTTTCAACTATGGAGAAGGAAGAGAATGCGTGGAGGGAAGTAGGGCAAAATGTAGCGTCGTACATTTCTTTAGGTGGAAACAACTTTACCATGCAAATATTGGAGTTCAGTTACGAGAATCTTCCGGAACGTTTGAAGCCGTGCTTTCTTTATCTCGGTGTGTTTCCGGAAGATAAAGAAATTTCGTTTCGCAAGTTGACGAGGCTTTGGATTGCCCAAGGGTTTATAGACAAGCATGATAAGAAGAATAGTGCAGAGGATTTAGCAGAAGAGTATTTAATGGAACTAATAGATAGAAGCCTAGTCATTGTTTCCGAAAGACGACCGTACGGTGGAGTCAAATCTTGCATTGTTCATGATCTGCTGCGCGAGTTGTGCTTGAGAAAAGGCGAAGAAGAAAACTTCTTAAGATTGGTGGTGGAAGAGTAAGTTTTACTCTTTTAACTATCTATTTTGCTGCTTCAAAGTTTTGTGTTTTAATTCTTGTCTTTTTCCAGTGACTATTCAATATACGAGAGAGGGCAACACGTACTATCGCTCGGATCTTTGATAGCTCCATTTGGCCAACACGTTCGATCCTTCCACGGGAAGGTTCCGGAGCCGCCGTTCTACGTTGTCAGCATGACATCACTTAGAGTTATGGGTTTCAACTGGCCCCTCAATCCATCTCGTGATTTATTCGGAATCGAGTTTATGTTTCAATTGAGATACTTGGTAATCAACGATTTTCCACCATCAATAGGTAGCCTCGTGAACCTAGAATATCTACTCGTTCTGACATGCCACACACAAGTTATCACCTCGAAAATAATGAGAATGACAAAGTTGAGATACGTCCACATAACCCACCAAGCGAAATACGACGAAAGCTGCTATAGTGACACATCCCACACAAACAACATACAATCACTTTCAAACATTGTGCTTTACAAGCCGAGTGATAGAGAGATGCTGAAGCGTTCACCACATATTCGCAAACTCAAGTGCGAATGCAAACCGTGGCACGGTGAAGACGGTGTTTATCAATATCCGGACCTCCGTTTTCTCAGCCAGCTGGAGTCGGTCAGCATGACCACGTTTTACGGGCCCCACAGGGCTGAGGTCAGCTTTCCGGCGACCGTCAGAAAGCTGACGATATCCGGGTTGGGTTTGCCTTGGGAGATGATGTCAGCGATAGGAGGAATGCCGAATCTCGAGATTTTGAGGTTGAAATGCGGTTCCTTTGTTGGGAAAAAATGGGAGACGAAGGAAGGTGAGTTTGAGAAGCTGAGATTCTTGATGATGTATAAATTGGAGCTGGACGAGTGGAATGTGGAGTCGAGCGAGCATTTTCCGAAGCTGCAAAGATTGGTTTTGTACGAGTGCTATAATTTGGAAGTGGTTCCTAATGAAATCGGAGATATTGGAACGCTGCAGTTTATCGAGATAAGAGGGTGGTGCCTCAAGACGCTTGTCGAGTCTGCTGTACGGATTGAAGAGGAGCAACGTGACATGGGGAATGAAGATCTTAGAGTGGTATCTTCTTAATTCTGATTTTGTTTTTTAGTTTGTGTTATTGGTTTGCACTTTGCAAAGTCGCTTTACTCCTAAATTAAAATATATAACTAATCAATGGCAGTTTTTCATTCGATAGTGTAGTTTGAAGCTCAACTACTTGTGCTTTGATTTGTGATCTGTAGTGGTAGTCAATGGCTCAAGGAAACTTGGATTTGAATTTGAAAGTTGAATCTTGAAATTCGATGACCATTTTTAGTTTGATTGATTCATGTGATTTGATTATGACTAGCAAGCACCACGTGCGTTCCACGTGATAATTTATGATTTTACTTATTATATAAATTTATAATTAAAAAAATAAAGTTAAGACATGATATTTAAAAATAAATTAAAATTAAAAAAAATCAAAACTAAGTACAAAAATTACTGTTCTGGCTGGGCATGGGTTGGGTAGGGTAATTATCGACAAATTACTTACCTGACCCGAATACCCAATTTTGCTAAATATTGAAAACCATAACTAGAAGATATTATTATTACCCGAACACCCGATTAATATGGGTTGAATAATGGTTGACAACCGACTTTGTCAGATAAATAATGGGTCAGTTGTCGGTATTATTATTTATTGATTTTTTATTTTTATTTTACAATAATAAATTTTATTAAAAGTCTTTTTAGAAGATATTCTAAATTTTGGGAAAACATATGTTCCAAAAATCTTAATTTTAAAGTTAAGAGTTTTTTTTTTATTATTAAACTTCTATATTAAGTAAATATATAGAGAAGAATATGATTTATAAGAATTATAAAATAAAAATAGTACATAAAGGTTTATAAATTTGTGTTTTGAGTTTTTTTTAGTTTCTACTTCTTTTATATATTATTTTTGTTGGAATAAGTGGACTCAATGTGAATTCAATATTGAAATTAGTGGCAATTCAATATTGGAAGAAGTGGGCATTTATGTTGGAATAAGTGTGAATTTGAAACACCATTGTCTAGATGTATCTAGACTTGTCTTTTGATTTTCCTATGTGTTAAATTAGAATTAGAAGAGTTGTTAGTCTAAGAGTTATCTTGTAATTTATTAGAAGATTAATGTACTCCTCACTATAAATATGGGGTGATAGAGATGATTGTATGCAAGACAAAAAAAAAAAAAAAAAAAAAAAAACAAAAGAGAAGAGAAGTAATTTTTCCATCCACATAACACTAGTCTTTTTACTTTCTCTACTCAAAAATATTATTTTCAAGCCTTCACAAAATCACTAAAATCCAAATTCAGGATTAATCATTTTATCCCATCCCGGTGCCTACAAATTGGTAATAGAGCCATCTTAAAAAATGTCCACCAACCTTGCTTCTCTTATACCTCGTTTCCATGGAGAAAAAAAATCAAATGAAGCTGTCTTGAATCTCAAGACATTTGGAGCGTTGTTGAAGACGGTGTTCAGAATCCCAAAAATGAGGATCAATTGATGAATGCACAAAGGCAAACTTTGAGAACCGAAAGACAAAACGATCGAAAAGCTCTTTTCCAAATATATCAAGCCATCGAAGTTCCTGTCTATGAAAGACTAACCAAGGCGAGTAGTTCCATGGATGCATGGGAAATTCTACAAACAACCTATGCCGGGAAAAATGAAGTAAAGAAGGTTCGTTTGCAATCTTTGAGGGCTGAATTCGAAAAATTGGAGATGAAAGAAAACGAAAAATTGTTGAATATTTTACAAGAATGACCTCTCTTGTAAATCAAATGGCGACAAATGACGAAGTCATGGAAACCCAAAGAGTTGTCGAAAAAATTATGCGAAGTTTGCCGGTGAAATTTGATCATGTTGTTGTGGTTATCGAAGAGTAAAAAGATCTTTCATCAATGCCGTTGGAGAGTCTACAAGGACGATTGGAGGCGCACGAAGCAAGGATTCTTCAAAGAAGTCCTCAAATCTCTTCTCCGGATCAAGCATTAAAATCCGAAGTTACATTCACAGGAGGTCATGGCTCGTTCCGAGGTCGTGGCCAAATAAGAGGAGGAAGAAACTCTTACAACAATTACTTGACAAGCCAAATCAATCAAATGATGAGGCGAAAGAGGAGGAGAAATATTTTCCGAACAATTTTCAAAGAGGAAGAGGCCGAGGCCGAGGATCATATAAAGCTACAAGGCCTTACGTTGAGTATCATTATTGTCATAAACTGGGACACATAATCAATGATTGTTGGGAAAAATATCCAAAAAAAAGGCAAGAAGTTGGTTATTTGCATGAAAATAAAGTCGAAAATATGGAGACTTTATTGATTGCATGCAACGCTAGCTTTGAAAATACTTGGTATTTGGATAGTGGTGCGAGCAAGCACACGGCGGGGAATAAAAAACTATTATCAAATCTTGTTGAAGCTAGCCATGGGACAGTTACGCTTAAAGATGGATACACCTACGCATTAGAAGGTGTTGGAGAAATTGTCTTCAAAACAAAATCCGGAAAAGTCGAAACAATGTCCGAGGTTTACTATGTACCTAACTTGACAAGTAATTTGCTAAGTGTTGGTCACTTGATGAGGAAAGGTTTCAACTGTTAGGATAGTAGACTAAAAGTCTTGCTTTTAGCTACATTTTTATTATTGAATTAATAAAATTGTATATTATCATTTTATGAGAATTTGCACTAGGGTATTCAATGCATTTAATTGATTGTTTGTCAATTAGTTAAAAGCATAAATCTAATATTCTAATAGTATTCGAAATGGTGTGCTACGGCGCACAGAAATATCATTTTGAAAGTTCGTTTAGTATATAAAGATAAACGTTCACAATCTAGATGGAAATGGACTATCCATTGGTAAAAGATTGTAGCACAATATTTAAGTGATTGGTCTTGATCACAGTAAACATAAAATAACTTTTGTAGTTATTGTTTTAACTTATTGTGCTAGCACACCCGACATGTGTTGAACCGGGCAAAGTGAAATAATTGTTTCATGACTGTTCATCAATGAAACTGTATTATTTCTAGTTGACAGTAAATTGCTTACTCTCTTAATCCCTAGATAATTAACGTACATATTTAATTGATGATCTCTACTTTGATGTCACAATGGGAGAGATTCCTACATTGAGTCAAATGGCCCCCGGTGCGTTGGGTAGAGACATTAAGAATTAATAGGTGGAAATTAATTATCGAAATGAATCCACATCTCTGAAATATGGGATTGATAATAACCCTTGAGTAGCAGCTTATAAGATTTGTTTATGCCAAGTCCTGGCTAGATGGATTTCGTATCCGGCATACTCAAATAAGTTAAGCGGGTAAGACTCATGAAAAGAAACCATTTAATTTATTTAGCAGTGAATACATTATTTGGTGGTTATAAGATATCTTAATGTGGGGAGAATCTAAGTAATGATCGACCGGAGCTCGAATGTTATTTGAGAATATGAACGGGAGTTCAATAATTATTTGGTAGTGGAAAATAAATAATTATTTAATGATTAATTAAATGAATTCTTTTAAGAGTTTGGATTTAATTAATTATTAGTTGCCCGGTTTATATTTTCTCCTTTAGTCCCTATTGTAGCCCAATGGATTTTCTAATTAATCGAGAAAATAAAGTTCAACCAATATTATATATTGGAATTAATATAGCCGAAAATTGAGTCCCCATTGGATTGCAATTTTCGACTATATAGAATTATAGAAGGAGTGAGATTTGTTTCCATGTAATCCTCTCTATGTGTGACTCTAATTCCTTGTGCTATATATAATAGAGATTAGGTTGATGAGAGGGATGAATAATTCTACACGCCTATTTCACGTTGGAGAGCTCTTCTTCATTTCTCTCTAAGTTTCTCGATTATAGATTTAGATTTCTTCAAGTACAAGTCCACCCTTGTAGAAGAATTATTAATCCGGGATATAAAATAGAAGATTATAGGTTTTTAGAGCAAACATTTATTCCCAAATTTTCTGAGCAGTCCTGCGAAGAAATTCGCCATAAATCAACCATTCGTCCGATAGGCTTGAAATTTATACAATAGTTTCCTAACTCATAGTACTATAATTCGACCGAAGGGTTTCTTAACCAGATCAACTATCTCGGAGATATAGGTGAAGGAAGAAGGGCTGTGAATTTCTGGACAGCAATTTTTCGAGGATTGAATGCTTGGTGTGAATCCTCGTTCGTGCGCCGAAGATAGAAATGAATCTGCTCGCGAAAATTGTAAGTTACTAGATTAGATTTATTCCGCTTTAAACGAATCTAATCAAAGCATGTTAATAAAATTAAAACCGGCTAATCTAGAACCTGTTGTGAATTTTCATTGAATCCTGAGCTTCACATCCCAACAATTGGTATCAGAGCTTCTTTGATTAATTCGTTTGAGGTTCACCATGTTGTCCAAAGTTTCATGAAATGGAAAATTCATATGTTGCATGTAGCGTTTTGTTTCTGACTTTGTTTTGCAGAATAGAAAATCCGCTATTATGGTTATGAATGTTTTATTTATGTTTTATGTGAATGGAGACCACTGTCTCGTGAGTGGTTACTTGTCGGTTTTAATTTCCATCGCGAGATATTGATGGAAGATCGTGTGCCTACGATATTTTTATTTTTTGTAATTTTTCTAGACGAGTTTTAGATAGAAATTACATAGATAGAATAGAGCAGTTTTTGTTCTCGGAATTGTCTGCACGATTGTGTCGTTTCTGTTATCACGGCCTAATCCACCGTCGGACCGAGCTGAATTTTTTTCTGGAGGTTCATAACTCTTTGGTGTAGAAACGGACCGTTCGGATCGTGAATCGGAGTTACCCAGATAGAGATATAAATTTCAGAACAAGGCTGGAAATTCCAGGACAACACCAGAATTATCAACCGCACGGGGTCTCGACACTGGGCAGCGGGCAGCCTGGAATTTGAGAATTCTAGAGTTTACGGGGACTTTTGGACTTCCTAATTTTAAGGAGTCTAAATCCGGGAGTCCCAACTTAACTATAATAGCGGAAAAATTAAATTGTTTTATTTAATATTTTTCTGGTTGATGTGTGCTTATATTTGTTATAAGCATGATTGCATGCATTATTCATGTTTATTATATTTGGGTTTAATTTGTTTAAGTGATACCCATGACATATAATTGGACAACATGAAATTTGGACATGCATAGATTTGCATTTAATTTATTATATTCATGTTCATCTATGTGTATTATATTTGGTTATAAATATGTTTTTATGTAATACCATGGATTATAATTAAATAACATAGATGACTCTGTTGAACATGATAAATTTATCATGATTCGTAGTTTTTCTATGTTTGTTATATAGGTTGATTAATTTGTGTATTAATAGGATCCCATGATATATAGAACTAGAGAACATAGAAATAGAACACACTCAATAGGTGCCCATAGTATTTCTATGATTAATTATATTGGACATCGTCATAGATTTTAGAGAATATAATTGATTATGAGAAAGGAGATTTATCGAATTTCGCTCCTACTCCGGACATAATTAATTGTAGACATTATCTAGAAAAATCTCCTAACAGATAATTTGGAATTGTTTATAGTGATATATTATTTTCTCCATGTGGTGGAAAATAGATATCATAGAAGGGGTTTTTGTGCATAAGTCCCCAACTAAGCATCTTTATTATTCTAGGTTTAGGGGATATATCTCTTTCACCAATAAGTCCATCCCTTTAATATTTACTATAAATAAAGGAAACATTCATGTATATGCCTATATTACCCCCAACCCTTTATCCCCAATTCTTAATTGTAACCCAAATTTAATCAATTTTGTCCACAAAAATCCAATTTTGACCACAAAATTCAATTTTGACTTTTTTTTTTCAAAAACTTTTTTTTTTCAAATTTTTTTTTTTGCCGCCGGATTCCGGCGTTGACTTTTCGATTTTTTTTTTATTTTTTATTTCTTTCTTTTTTCCGGATTTTTTCGCCGGTTTCCGGCGTTGATTTTTTTTAGTGTTTTTTGGAGGGTTTTTTTTTTTTTTATTTTATGTCCGCCGCTAAACGTTGACCGTAATTGTGCTGTCACTGACAGTAAATTAACGTAATTATACTGTAATGACAGTAAATTAACGTAATTATACTGTAATGACAGTTAATTAACGTAATTGTACTGTCGTTGACAATACATTTATGTAATTGTGTTGTCGTTGACAGTAAATTAATGTAATATTATTATTTTTTATTTTTTGTTGTTTTTTTTTTATTTTGTTTGACTTGTTGACATGTCAACGTAATTATATTACTGTCATTGACAGTAAAATAACTGTAAACACAATAATATTACAGTCAACAACATCAATATTATTATTTTTTTGGGTTTTTGTTTTGTTTGAGTTATTCTCGGAGTAACGTAATACTATTACTGTCTATTATTGTAATATTATTGTAAACACAATAATATTACTGTGGTTGACGGTAATATTACTGTTGTTATAGTAATATTGCTGTCAACCACATCAATATTATCATTTTGTTTGGATTTTTTTGTTTGTTTGAGTTATTCACGGAGTAACGTAATAATATTACTGTCTATTATTGTAATATTTCTGTGGTTGACGGTAATATTACTGTTGTTATAATAATATTACTGTCACTCACAGTAATATTAATTCTTTTGGTTTTTATTATGTTTACATTTATTGAACGGTCAACATAGTAATATTACTCTATTACACAATAATATTGAGTTTTGTTGTGTTAATATTACTGTGCTAGAGATTAATATAGCAATATTACTGTGTTTAACAGTAATATAGTTAATATTATTGTCAATCACAGCAATATTGCTGTTTAAATGAAAAAAAAATGTTAAGGAAAGAAAGAATAGAAGAAAAAAAAAATCAAAAAAGTCAACGCCGGAAACCGGCGAAAAAATCCGGAAGAAAAAAAAATTGGAAAGTCAATGCCGAAATCCGGCGGGAAAAAAAAGTTTTTGAAAAAAATAATTTTTTTGAACAAAAAAAAGTTTTGGTTCAAAATTGAATAATTTATAAAATTTGGGGTCAAATTGAGGTTAAACTAAGGTAATGATGAAATTAGAGCATATTAAAGTATAAGGGGTTATTTTAGTCCTTTACAAAAATCTGGACCATGTGTGGACTTATTGGTAAATGAGTTTTTTGTCTGGATCTCTTTATGAATAAGTACCCATTGATGGACTTATTTGTAATGACCACATCATAGAATAATCAATTCAAAGTTAATTGATAGTCTAATGGCATATAATTAAAGACCATAGAAATTGAGCACACTCAATAAATGCCCATAGTATTTCTAAATTAATTATATTGGACATCATCATCGTGAGAAAGGAGATTTATCGAATTTCGCTCCCACTACGGGCACTTTTAATTATAGACTTATCTAGAAGAGTCTCCTGACGGATAATTTCGAATTGATTATAGTGATACATTATTTTCTCCATTTGGTGGAAAATAGATATCATAGAATAATCAATTTAAAATTAATTGATAGTCCTATGACATATAATTAGAGAATCTAGAAATTGAGCATGGTAATTATTTTCATAGATTC